GAGATCAGCCAGGGTGGCTCCCCCTTGGGGCTCCCAAATGATGCCCCTGGCAGCGTTTTGTGACCATGAGGCTCTCAAGAGAGACATGTTGGGGAGGCCAAACGGCAATTTTAGCTGAGACGTCCCACCAAAATCGGCGCGAACGGGCTCGTGAGATCAGCCAGGGTGGCTCCCCCTTGGGGCTCCCAAATGATGCCCCTGGCAGCGTTTTGTGACCATGAGGCTCTCAAGAGAGACATGTTGGGGAGGCCAAACGGCAATTTTAGCTGAGACGTCCCACCAAAATCGGCGCGAACGGGCTCGTGATATCAGCCAGGGTGGCTCCCCCTTGGGGCTCCCAAATGATGCCCCTGGCAGCGTTTTGTGATCATGAGAGAGTGTGAGTGAAATCTCTTATCTTGTCTTAGCTTATCTTATATCAACTCATCTTATCGCATCATATCTTGTCTTATCTTATTACTCCATAGGCTGTCTTATCTTATATATTAGCCTACCTTGTCATATACCTTATCTTACCTTATCATATAGTGTGCTGTCTTATCTTATCTTGTAGTATCTTATCTTGTCTTGTCTTATCTGGTGATTATCATTGGGAGGAGGGAGGCGCGAGCGGGAGGGAGAAGGAGCAGTGAGAGGCGTCAGAGTAATAACAAGAACCCCAATCCTTAGGATATGGGGAAAAAGCAATTGCAACGCAGATCTTCTCAAACCCGGGCTGCCAATACGCGCGGCCGCCTCGCGGCCACGAGCGGCTCGCTAACCTGGGTCAGCCAGAGGGGGTCTTCGCAGGATCCTGCAGGATCTGGTGCCCTGGCTGACCCCCGTTTGCATTGACCCCCGTCTCAAGGCTCCCGACTGCAGCCCCTGTCCTCGGCTCCGGCCGACGCTCGCACCGACTGCTCTGCTCGGCGGGGCGTCTCCACTCATCCTGGCCAGGCTCTCCCTGGGCCCAGGATCGGTGCATACGCCCTCCTGGCTTGGCTACCCTGGGGTTCTGAATGAGCGTGGGGGGGGGTACCCCCCGACGGGGGTCAACCTCGCCTAGTCGTCGCGCCGCGACGGGGGTCGGAGCGCCTTCGGCGCGCGTGGCTGCCCGCGACGGGGGTCGGTGTGGGGCTGTCGGCGGGGGTGACGCCCCCCCGATGCTGATTGAGAAAACGGGAGTAGGGAGACACAGAAACCGATCCAAGGGACCACGATCGGCTCTGCCAAGAAATCGGCGAGGTGGCCACAATGACATCCCTGGGGAAAGCAAAAGATCCCACCGATACCGCTACCCCCTCGGACCTCCCCCGAGCTGTGTTCTGACCAGGATCTCAAGGCGAACCCAGCGGTGGGGACGACGGCCACCCAGGAGGCCCCAAAAGAGGAAAACGAGGCGAGGGTGTAGAAGTATGGGATATAGGTACGTTTTCCTCCTCCGAGTGACATCAGCAAGGTGGCCACAAGGACGTCCCCCGATCTGCTCCGCCATCGCCTCTGTCTTGGCGCCAAGCCCAGGGGAGAGTCAGAGGGGGCGGGCCTCCTCTGAAGGCTCAGAAGTCCCCCGGCCTTCTCAGACGAGTCCCAGGCCCTCCCCGACGAAACAGAAAATCTCCCAGAAGGCGCGAGGGCTTCTGAGGAGTCCCGCCGCCTTCTGAGGTGGCGAGGGGGCTAGAATTGAAGGGGCCCTGACACACACACACACACACACACACA